CTCTCTTTCTCTCTCTCTCTCTCTATATATATATATATATATATATATATATATATATATATATATGCATATAAACCCTTTGAAGCTCATGTAGGTTTATTCCGTTGTATAAAGACTATCCATTTGACACTGTCGTCCTAAAGATGACTACGATACATACGTTAGATATTATCACCCTGACGGTTCCAGTAGCTATTGTACTATGCTATATTACAGGAGTTACCGTATTACACTGAAAGCTAGGGAAAGTGATGAATAACTCCAGTGCGTCGATGATAAGCACGTAATTGGTACTGGTTTTCGTGGCCGTACCCGTGTTTATACCAGTTGAAGGGTTTGAGCAGGCTTCTGCATATGGGCACCAATGGCCTGTGCGGATCAGTACATAGGGATGCGTGAAAAACGTTTATCGCTTTTTTTACGCACGGCCGTCCAGCGGTTTGATAGCTTTTGATCCGGATGTCATCCGTTCACGCATGAACGTATATATATATATATATATATATATATATATATATATATATATATATATATATATATATATATATATATATATATATATATATATATATATATATATATATATATATATATATATATATATATATATATATATATATATATATATATATATATATATATATATATATATATATATATATATATATATATATATATATATATATATATATATATATATATATATATATATATATATATATATATATATATATATATATATATATATATATATATATATATATATATATATATATATATATATATATATATATATATATATATATATATATATATATATATATATATATATATATATATATATATATATATATATATATATATATATATATATATATATATATATATATATATATATATATATATATATATATATATATATATATATATATATATATATATATATATATATATATGCATACATATGTATAGAGAGTGAGAAAAAGAGAGGGAGAGACAAGTGCTTGAAGCTCAAACAAAGTGGCTAGAAGGTCCGTGGTTCAAGCCCACCTCCGAAATTTCGGCTGCTCCTTTCTGGTCCAGGTGAACTGTCAGTATCCAAGTCTCCATGCTGCCCCTGGGTTACATGGTAACTGGGCAACGAAAGTATTACCGCCGAATGATTACATTCTTACTTGATGGAATAGACCGAGCTGGTGTTTGATCCCACACACTTATCGAACATAATTTTGTTGCTCCAGTGATGTCTGGGTTCCGTTAATTTCATCCAACACGAATCAGTCGTTATGGGCCAACTACAAGTTACTCTCCTACTTTGGGTAACCGTTCAACCTTGAGCGAATCGGTCCAGGCGGAAGGGTTCAGATACGGGTGAGCAAGTCCATGAAGTTAACAGATGGCCCAACATTCGTAAATCCAGGGGAATTTGGACAGCAAAGTGTGGACAGTGAATTTAACTGAATCAAGAGAGAATAGATAGCGCATGTTTTTGGTTTATATGGGACCAATGACTGACGAGTACAAGATATCTGTTGAATATGTAAAGTCCCCAAACGTCTTCATTTTAAAGGGACTGCCGACCATGAAGACCATTCAGATGGAGCAGTGCGAAGGTAGCTTCAAATAGTAAAGGTAGTTTTGTTCACAAAATCGTACTATCCACCAAAGAGATGGCTGCGCAAGCACAGTCAGTTACGGCTGACTCGTTATCTTTGATTCAAAGTTGACTTATCACCGGCTGCCAAAAACAAACGAATTCTAGCTATTGAAAACGACTGGTCCAATTATTCACGATGCGTCAAACCCCAGTTATTAGGAATTAAGTATGACACCACAGAAACAAAAGACCCAAAGCTGATACAAGCAACCTGCTTAGATTTATCAATGACTTCAAACGGGCACGCACGTATGCTTGTTAAACTTTCTTTGTCACTCTAACTAAAGGTGGCATGGCGCCATATAGGGGTGCCATCGGCTTAGCTGGCGACAGGATGTTGAAGAAAAACGTGAACGGAAGGAACAGTATTCTGCGATTAGGTAGTCAGCAACCCACGGTAATGTGGATGAGCAGCGGATCTCACAAAAAGAACGGGATGGGAAAGTACATAGATAACGGGAATTTGTCCTGGGATATGCGCAGTTTTTTGTGTAGTTATGGAACCTACGTTAAGTCTTCGCGGGATAGAGTATCCGCCTACTCGCTCAGTATGCGTTCATACGTTTGGTGTGCTGCAAACGTTGTGAATAAAAATCAACAAAGCGTCAACAGATTAGTAATGGTCCAGAATTTTGATCTGAATATTAGGATTATGAACCGGAGTTTCNAATGGTCCAGAATTTTGATCTGAATATTAGGATTATGAATCCGGAGTTTCGATTTCTCTTCCGATAAGGATTCTGTTCAGCATCCGTACAATTCTAGATATTAGGAGTATGGAAGGAATCCAAAATAAGGGCAGATAAATTCGGCATGAACTGAAACAATTAGGCAGGCTTCACTCAACTCTGCATTACCAAAAGTACTGAACTTCAACCTTAGATCTGTTCCAAAAAACGGGAAGAAGAGATTGGAAATACATATCGTTGATTGATAAACTTGCTGTGCGACGTAAACACTGACGTGTACCAAAAACTGAAAGATCCTCAAATAATTGATGCTCCTAGGTTATCTACTCTGTCCAACAAACCTCCGCCTAACGACTACTTCGCTATCTGGACCTATATATGATCAAGACGACTGGATCTGCTTGTTTTTTGGGTCATCCCAGAATGAGTCGGAAAATAAAGTTAGGACCACAATTATTCACAACATTTCCAAGCAGCACTATATCAACATGTTGGGTCCCGTCTTTTCCGTCAATCTTTTGAAATAATCGGGATCAAAATGTCATCCTTCAGCTCTCATTAATCGATCATAACGCTCCAGCACGCCTAATTATTCCTTATTTGATTCAGACTGCACTGCGTATCAGCATTGCGAGTAAAAATCTTAAAGAAGCGCACCGGTTAACTTGACAGGTAAGTGTTACCTGATTTTGAGCAAATGGATTCACAACGAAATATGACGAACATACGAAGTCCCTGGGACCGTAAAGCAGTCTACTATGTTCAGGCGGCAACTTACTACTTGTAGAAGCGCTTGGAGCCTCATCTTGGTAAGAAATGAAAACTATCAATCAACCGTAGCGGAAGGCTACAAGCAAAGCACTCACACTTATCAAGGGTATACAACGAGCCTCATATCAGTCTAAAATGTTAATTGGAGGACTGTAAACTTCTGTCTCGAGGTCCCACTAGGTTTTGACCACTGTGGGGAAATACTACTTCCCTGAAAAGTCACCAGAATCCAGCAGTGGTGAAAACCTGACTGTAAGGCCACCTACCCCATTATCTCCCTGGACTACTAAAATTTGTTTCAAAGCTAAACATGGACAGTAGAGTTTAACAATAACCCAGCTATGCATAAAAAATGGAACGGCAACCAAGTATTGTGGGGACTTTTCAAGGTCCGCATAACCGCGTGAAACACGAGGCTCACCATGAAGACACCCTAGCGAAATCTGTTTCGTTGGTGGACATAACGTAAACAGAGCCTATGTTTCAATTTAACATTTATCCACGCGGTCCACTGCACTGACTGATGACATTACAGCTTCGAATAAACGCACGTCCTGAAACGACTTTACTGCACTTGGTGACCTACTTTACTGCCTGAGAAGGAATCCTCAGGATTGCCTTTTCTTGAGTGGTCGACCCTCAGACAGTCAGCCACAAGACGGTATACCGCATTACAAGGATTCACTCGTTATAGAACTAAGAAGACGTAAGCGATACATCGATGTGTCGCTATGCTGGTGAAATTTTCGAGGTAAATGAAGCTATCGTAAACACGAATAACCTGTAAGAGTAAAATAAGTCTCTCAGCCGAAGTGTTTCGTGGGCGTACTGAAAAATTTGATTCACAAATTTCAAGGGGAAACGGTTCAAAATATATGTTGAACTGCTGTGTTGATGAGAACCGAAGGTAATGGCATACTCCCACCACGGCCTGAGTTTCATAGGATAACAGGATGAAGAGAGGGACAACTGATCCTTGGATTTGGTCGTTATCCGTAAGCGCACAGGCGACATCGGAGGAGCGGATAAATAGTGGTGTGGGTGTGATGTTCATGATTCATTCAGAAATTCCAGAAAAGGTGTAGGTCTGATTCGGTCCTCACCAAAAACAGTGACTTTTCAAGGCCGCGCCTGCGCAGGTCCTAGTTACGGGCTCACTTACCAGACCCAAGTTTTTAAGCTACCACAAGGAACAACGCGAGGATGTGAATAGGCTAGTTCTAGAATATCCGTACACCTTTGATTGTTGGTGTAGTAACTGAACACCACATATGAGTGATCCGAGTGACAAACAAAGAATAGGAGTGGACCTGAAGGTTAGAGGCTGTGCTTTTATTCCAGTTAAAGTAAGCTACAGGAGAAAATTGATGGAAGAACGACAAATTTCATCATTTTCAACGATACACACTGCGTTGTATTTTGTTTATGTATATTAATAGATTGTACACTCTTTGAATACAACATTAACAGCCCGCCGTAAATACATTTACTGAGAAGAATATTAACATTCCAGTATTTCCACTAAACTAGATCATTAATTGGTTTCTAAATAACAGGACGCAACAGTCAGCGTTAAACGAAGCCTCAGTCGCACGGAAATCTGTCTTATGAGATTTTCTAGCCCACATTAATCTGGCTTGTATTTTGGTCTTAGCTTCACGTACCACCGGTCACTTTTTTCCGTTTTATATAACTGTCGCGAATGGTTGTTTTCGTTGAGCCAGAGTAAACGACGTCGGTGGTTGCTGGCTGTCGGTCGGATGCCATATCAAGGTGATTAGACAGTAATCAGCTGCCTTCAGTAAGATGGGTGTCTGTGTGCTACTTTGCCGTTGAGTGTGCCATTGGCGTCAATACTACCCTCTCCATTGAACTATCAGAGTGCTATGAACGAAAACATCATCGACCACACACAGAAACATTCAGAAGGGGTTGTCATCGTTGCTTGACAGGGGCAAAAGGCAGAACAGATAAGAATAGAATGGAATTCAACAACATATTATCAGAGCACGAACGTCCAACTACCGTTGGTGAAGCGGCAAGGTGTGTGGTCCACATTAAGCGTCTAGTAAGACCTTGATAAAAGAACAAGATCCGCAACTGTGAGGGATAGTCGTATACGTAAAGAGAAGGATATCTTTGATAGGCAAACAATCGTAGTGGTGAGCTGTAAATTACAAAGACAGTGATTATAAAGATTAAGTGGTTTCGTGCCAGACGTAGAGTAGCAAGTGCCATGGGATAACTGCAGATATGCTTCCTGTGCTGTTGGAACAGCGAGAACAGGGAAAAGGAAAATGATTTCAACTCACTTGGTTTCTAGCGGAAGCCGAATCCAGCGGATCCTCAGCAGCCAACATGGCACTGCTCACCAAAATGCACACCAAGACCATGTTGTTGAAGTAGTTGTGATTGCAGATTTCAAAGCAGGCCACACGAAAGCTGTAGCAGGACAAGAATTAGCGAAAGTAGTGAACTCAACTCATGCAGACTTAGTTGTCAAGTCCCTCTCATCATGATTTAATTGAATGGCCTAGTGTAAATGTGAAATAGGGCATAGGGACATTATTTTTAACTGCATTGACTAGATCAAGTCGAACTGCAAAGCAGTTTTCACTATAGGCTTCATCAAGTCCGAAGAGAAAGGTTTCCGCTCCGCTAAAGGCGTTCTCAGGGATCCTAACATATTTCGTTCGAAAACCACGGACGAATACATCAATTGTTGGACTGCTCTCGACGGGTATCAGTTCACTTTAATGTATTAACAAGTGGTGACGACAGAACTTCAACGCTGAACTTCTGGGTTCTCACCTGCGCTCGTTCAAAACTTTTTTGAAGGGCCTAATTCACACTTGAGACCCTGAAGTACAAAAAAATTGGAAGGGCGTGCTCGTACTGGTATTTTTACCAAGTCCCAAAGTCTCACAATGCTGGAATCAGTTTATCCCATTCACCTTTCGCTAGTCTTTTGACATATTTGATTACTTAAGTCTTCCTCACCAGACCTAACGGTGGCTATCTTATCCACCATTATAATCCGAAACTAACAAACCAATAAGCACTTACGGATTGGTTGGACTGAATATGAAGAAGGAGGAGGCATCCGGTATCGGTTTCACTTTACCCGTTGTAGACGGTTCAGAGGCTCTCCTGGACCCAACAGAATCCTTCGCCTGCGTCTCGCTCTCGTCACCCGACTGATTCACGCCCTCCTCAGACTCGACAGGTTGTGGATTCTTTGAGGCTTTCAAGAGTCAAGGTGAACAAAGGACAGCTGTTTATTTTGAACGAGACGCGAATGTGAGATATGATTGTGTACGTTATGGTCGAATGATTTTCTCGGCAACTTAGTTTTCCGTACTAATTAGCTATTTTACTATTATGCTTTAGGATTCTAGTGTAGTTTCAGCTGGAGCCTCTCCGATTTAGTTTCTTCGAATAAATATCGATCGCGGGATATCCAGTAGCTCCGATCTTGACTTAGTATCGGTTGCCTTAATATATCAAATCAATTCAGGTCTGATGAAATCTGATAACTAGTACCTACATGCTGAGTTTGACGGATCTGAACTATCATGGGTGTTCATCAGACAATGGTATTTTTATGTATTCGTTAGTGTCGAATGTTTTGGGGAAAGTCATAACGTGAATTAGGTAGCTAACCTTCACTTTAGTAGAATGGACTATTTACGATGGTTTTTATTGACTGGATCTCACTTCGGGATCCCTTTCACAAGAATAAAAATGCGCACGTTAAAGAGGACAACAAAACCAACGAGTTGTGTTCCGCCGTTGAAAAAGCTTCATTAGCCGAGTGATGCAATCAGTAAATTATCTTGGGTTGAATATCACAAACAAGAGATTCAGAAGGGATTCAGTCGAGTCATCCATAGAAACTAAATAGTTTGCAAGCGGATGCAGTTTGTGAGTACTTTCAGGTCAATTCTGTTGTTTACGCAGGTTAGGATAAAGAAGGGTGTACAGCGGAGGCTGTTATTTTGTTTTGTGCAGCTGATCTGCATGTTATTGCAGGTGTTCACTGTCATTTGTGGCTATTTTCCAAAGCCACGTGACTAACCGCTACCAGACGACCTCATCCTAATTGCACCGTTGTTTGTCGTGTTTTTTTGTCGAATACTGTGCGAAACGTTGAAATGTAGATCTTGTGCGCTTTGGTTTCTGTCCTTCCTCCTTCATTTGTAAAGGTAAATATTCCGCAGCAAGCAACATGTACAAAACGATCATCGGAAATAACATTACTCTTGCGATCTCACCCACGCTTATTTAAACAAAGGTTCAACGAAATCAATTGATTGAATGAGCGAATAAATGATTACGGAGCATACTTCTGTGTGCAGTGACAGCCAGTGGGTTCAGTAAGGCGATCACATCCCTCAAAATGTAGTTTCCAACTTTCCCTTACTTGAATGAACTGAAGCGCGTCTCATTGCCTAAGGACATTTCAGGCCATTGCTTACAGTGTGTGTGATTGATCTTCATCCAATTTTCAGTGAACAAATATGCGGTGTATCACTGAACCCGGCGTAGAGCTACCGAAATGAACCGAACAAAACAGCGACCACGTTGTGTTTGAGGCACCTTCATTTCTCCGCAGTGCCGTCTGTCTTACCATGCCCAAACTCATCTAATGTGGTCAATGTAATTGTGAAGAAAGGTCATACTGAAAAGGGAGTAGTGGTTAGAAGAACTAAGATTTGTAGCTGTTCCTTCAGCTGCTTGAGAAATCCGGATCAGCACTGTTGAACATTTGTCATGAGGAGAAAAACAGACGATAGACTGAAATGAATCAAACACTGTAACACATGCAAACGCCAGAGGGAAATTGTCAGTTGCATCTGTGATCGAAGCACACAAGATGCAGTGGGAATGGAATTGGTGTCCGGAAGTCACAGCCGTGTTCAGTCACATCATCAGTTCCACTCGCTAATTCATTAAATCAATCAAACATCCCCTCTGGCTTGTACCGGTAGTCACAACACCACAAGGAGTAGTTTTGCAGCGTTTCCATCTTAAGTTGACAGTTGCGTTCATTTACATTCTGCTTCGGTGGAAACGTGTGCATCTGCACTCAAGCAGAGTATAGCAGAGCTAAGTGTTTTTTTCTTGGTTTAGTAGGTTCATCTAAATCTTTTAACAGTCTGATTGTCACTGAATAGACTGAATCTTTCCCAGCTTTTTTACTATACTTCTGGAGAACCTGATGAGTATCACACCTTTACATTTACATGTCAGAAGCGCCTGGTCATGGGAAGCTACACCAATAAGCGTCTCGTTCTGAAGCCGACTAGTCAGGCGTATTCGATCGCACGATGTTCAGATTTAAAGTTCACGAGAAGTGTTCGCCCAGCTCAGGTGTGAGCATTCAGTATTTCAAATTAAGTCTTTTTCGACAAATATGAAGTTGGTCTTGATAAGAGACTCAACCAAATCCAGCTGAATCTACCTAACAGTTTGTAGGTGGCCACATGAAGTTGGGCTCTACCGTCATCAGAAGATGTATGTGATGACGTTGGGTTCACGTGTGAGGAATGTGACATTTTTGCCATTTACTCTCACACCAGACCCAGTATGACGGACACGTTTTGCCTGATGTGCGAGTCTTGACTGTGCTAGCGCACACTGCACCTTGAAGAGCATTCACCATTGTTTGTCCTTTCTTTGGTTGTTGGTCTTTAGACGCGTGTTCCCATACCAAAATCTTTACATACTTTGGGATTCATCTCACCAGACTGGCGGTCCTTGGCATGATTTCGAATGAGACGTTTCTCTCTTTTCTCCCATATTCTCCTGTTACTCTTTCGCATTCATCACTTGCATTCACTTTTTATGTTTGTGATCATGCTCTTCAAAAATAAATGATAATATTAGTAGTAAACCTGTTTGAACCGACCTTAGTTCCATGACTATAGGTAGAACCTTCCAAGTTGTGTATGCTATTCATGCACTGCACCAGTGTTCGCATATGATTTTTCCTATCGATCTAAGCGTGCCTTTTCCTGCCTTGAAAATTCGTGAAATCTCACAGGGAAATTGACCACAGATAACGAAAAAAAAACAAAACAGTCAGTCCTGTCAACCAATTTGATCTAATGGTTGTGCTGATCGAAATCTGTTGTGTAATTGGATTGTCCTTCGGCTAGTTAATGAAGACCAACGTGTGTGACAGGAGAGGTTGTTTAGGTTAAGGACAGAATTTGGACGAAAAGACAACCTACAGAGGTTGTTTGTCGAACGATTGTCTTCATCCTCTTCCTCATTGATTGGATCCAAGCTAGGCAAGAAAAAAATGAAAACAACATGTTCCATACATTATAAAACGGATAAATGACTCAAAAAGTTGACAGTTGCAATTCCTTACATCCCTTGAATACTAATTAAATCGGAGTTTTATGAGGCAATGGTCCTGTCCGAATAAAAGACGATTCGTTGGCCTTTGTTACAAGAATTCTTCATCATACCGAGTTAAGAGTATCGGATGATTCTGTTAATCCATTCAGCTAGACGAGCAACACGATGAGGAAGAAAACTGTCAGCATTTCTTACAGTTCATGATTGCATGTGGACTGAACAAATCTCCCGGAGAAAAATCCTCAAACTGAATGTGATGAGGCGCGTAAAATCCAGAAAAGCTCACAACAGAGACACCTGCTTTCACAAAGCAGACAATATCCAAGTGCATTCCGGAATACTTGGTGACGTAGATTGCGATGGAACTTGTGCGAGAACCCCGTGCGAGCTATCAGCTATTATTAAGCGTAGGAGGTCAGCATTTTCTTAGCTTTAATCAGCCTCGAACACAAGATATACAACATTTATCAGAAAGGTATGTGGTACCAAGGAGCGCAAAAAAAGCTCTTTAAATGGGTGAGTTTGTAGGCCCAGTCCTGGGGAGGCATGAAATTTTGGAGGAACAGGGATCCGTGTGGATTTGTCCTACTGGTTCGCAGCAAGAAGTTGAAAGTCCAGCTTGCACTTGGACTTGAGTTAAAGATAGCTCAGTGGTTAAGGCACGAAATTACTGACCGAAAGGTTCGAACCCAACGTCAGCACCTTGACTGCTCCTATCTAAGCTTGAACAACCTGAATTATCTTCGCCCTCGTGTTTCCTTCGGGTTCCACGACAGCTGGGCAAGGAAAGGGTGTTGCAGCTGAACGATTACCATTTTCATTATTTACTTGGGCAATTAGTCGGCAGGGCTGCTACACACACCTGTCTAGTGTTGCGCGACCAGTGTCCGCAAGCGATAGGGAAAATGAAACTCGTGCTACTGCAGTGGATGAAAGCTTATAATAGAAATGTTACATTAATCACCAAAGAAACTCTTACGCGTCTCAAAACCGGCTGATATTAGTGGAAAACTTTCCCGCCGATATTGAAGATGCAGTCATTTGTTCAAAAATGATGCGTTTTATTTGAACAATATAAAAATAATGATTTCGGCTCTCATACTTAGTAACAGCGGACCAGATTCCGCCCACCGATGAAGTTAGAAGAGGCCTAGTTAAGAGCACCTAGTTTGTGTGAAATGTGTCCATGGGATTGTTTCCCCACAATAAAATCTGCTACAAATAAATGAAACCTACTTTAGTTGATCCAAAAGCTGAGTGACGTCGTTGAATTCGTTGTGAACTTTTTCGGTCAAACTGGGCGTGCCAGATTGACCAGAGACTTGTCGACTAAGCCTGCGTGCGGCGAGATCTGCGGAGACTGCTGCTTTGTTCATATCTGATTCGATCTTGTCTTCTTCACCCTCTGGTTTCTCCTCACCGGATTCTTCCTTCTTCTCCTCACCCGAACCAGTATCTGCTAAGTTATCCACGGCAATGGCCAAAAAGACGTTGAGTAGAATATCTTGGGGACGGTGACGAAGGGTTAGGGTTAAGGAATAGATTGGGGAGAGGAAACCACAGTGTTGTGAATGTGGCGATTGACATGCAAGTACGGGCATTTTACATAACAGTCCAGCCAACGTATCTCACAGTTTTTCCTATACTACATGGATTTTCCATTCAAAATCTTTCACGATGTTAAATTATAGCGGTCAGAAATTATTACCTAGTACCCAAAGAATACATGACTTCACAAAACTAAGTTCCTTTCACAATATGCCGATAACAATGCGTAGTCTTCTCCCGAAAATGTGAACAGCTCCAGGAGTTACCGAAATGTCCCACTGGCGAGTGGCTACCGCTTAGGTAGGATGCTCACCTCAAGCAGCTCCAAATCACAAATGTTCAACTGTATTCGAAACACATTACGAGCAATTGCTGATTGGAGGTGAATTCGCTTACTTCTGTCAGAGCAGATGACCCAGATAAGCATATACTTGTGACACGTAGACAAATTAGGGTGTTGACTTGATGTGCCTGTCACGAGCACCTTGACGACAAATAATAAGAACCACAAAAGCAGGTGAAACTTCACATATCCTACCGATTGTCGGAACTCATCCAAATATTTCTCCACTTATCAGAACATGATGATTCAGACAACACTCGACCGAAGGATACTGCAACAAATTGACGGGAAGTCTCTTCGTCGAGAGTAATTCTGAACGTGGGACCTGCTGCGATCCATTCGCAGTTTTTGTGTGTAAACAGTGAACTCCGCGCACAGCACGCGATACGTTAATCCCACAACAAGGGGATTGTTTAACCTGATCTTTGTGTCCAAAAACGGTTTGACCTCACGATCACACTCAGCCGACTGTCATCAAATGCAAACCAGATCAGAAGACTGCAAATCACCCGAACTTTCAGTTTCGCAGCTTATTATCACACGATGTACACTTCCCTCAACCCTACTGATAGTCTCCAATAGGGGTTGGTGCTCACGTGGTGACGAACTGTCAGGAAAAACTTGATCAATACAGGAGTAATGACCGCAAACCAGAGAAGCCGGGTGGCAGATTCTATATACTACGATTAAGCAACTACCCGCAGGAAACTGCTTTTGGTCAAAAACAACTCTGTCCAGTATAAATCAACCCACTCAGAATTAATTAGCTAGTCAAAATCCTAACAACGAAAAACCGGATGTGTTGCTACGGTCTGCAATGGACTTGACCACCTTAACGACGACGTCATCAGTGGTGCCATTAAACCGGAGATAGAATTCTCCAAATTGACAAATTAAGGATAGACATGCTTTCCCGGAGTACTACTGAGTACCCTACTCAGTCAGTTTGGTGGTAGTAACACGGAATTTCTTACGATCAATTCACGTGTGTGCAATCGGGGTGATTTCTGATACTTGGTGCATGGTATATATGACACTGGCAAGAGCGAGGTGATGGGATGATACTGAGCATCACCTTTGATTAGCCACAATGTTTCATGTCATGTTGGTAAATACGCTCAGGGTGAACATGTGCTCCTGTTCGTATGTACCTTGATGGATGGTGGTAAGATGTCCACCCAACATGCCACATTTCCGCGGTTCAAATCATAGTCGAGGATAGGCGCTGCTGATGAGCGCAAATAAGAGAAAGTTTTGAACCCTGTGTTTAGTGCGAACGATCACTCAAGGACATGACTCTTCAATCGAAAGTGATTAATGACTTGTGCCTTCACATTGGTAATGGATTTATCACGGTGATTAGTTGACCTTGGTTGTCGATATATGTTGACTGCATTACATCGAATCCACTGGAGTCTAGGTTGGACGTGCACTTGTCTGCCTGTTTTCTCTAGATCCAGTCTGTCAGATTAGCAGTATGGTATCAAACATTTTAACAACTCGGTCTCTCAATGGTGGCCTGGAAATCGGTTTTCGTTCCTTTCAGCTTCACTGATGAGGAATCAGAACACTGCATCACAAAATTTCATTGAAAAAAACCTTTCGGACGATATTAATCTCTGCTAATGGAAATTCACTCGACTTGATCTGCTGTAACCAGCCAAACTGTACACAACTGCAGAAAGTACAAATACCAGAAGGGTATATTGTAGTTAGCTGATTCCAAACAAGAGGTGAAGCACTGCAACCGAGTAGTAGCCGGCGTATCGGCTCTCTTCAGGTTTGTTATGAACTTCCACGTACTTTGCAGTGTTCTAGTCGTTTCAGAGTCTAGACCTGGTGCATTCCAGCAACACTTGCTTCATCCAGATTGGATAGAGTGAATGATGGCGATAATAATTCGTATAGGAGCTGTTCAAGAATGTCCATCGCTGGCGACAAAAGGTATAAAAAGACACACCAGTTGGAGCCCAAATTGAATTGTCAAGATAACGCTTGTCAAGTCATTCCTATTCTTCCTCACGTTCGTGAGTGACACGAAAGTGTGGACAGTTCACATGTGAATTTCAGATACCAGACACGTAGAAACGAAACCCAGAAGAACGAGGCCTACGCTGCAAGAGATCACTCCGCTCAAGGCATTGTATAGAACCTCGGGATCGGAAAAACTGCCAAAAATCCATGGCAACGAAATAGTTTGCTTGGAAGCTGTTAAAAGGATACAATTGCCACATATGAAGAGGATGACGTAGTACAGGCAAACAAGCATTCCTACGCTTCCTTTTGAATAAGAATTGATTCCATTGTACATGGCTTCGTTCCAGTCCTCGCTGGTCAGTATCTGTAGAGACAAAAAAGAACGACATGGAAAAGCATTGAAAAGCGTCTACGGGCTTGTTTGTGCTAATGCTAGGGTATTGAAGACAGCACACAGTGTGAGATAAGGGTCATGGGTTGCTCACACAGAACCATACAAGAAGCCCCAAATGATGGTACGTCGATCGGCTGCTGACGGTCTGTCTTGACCCGTTTATAATCTCACCTGATGAAGGAGGACGGCTATAACAGAAAATTTCACTGAAGTAACTGCTTTTGGAAGATGTGGCCACTATAGGCGGAGCACCATCACAGCACCATAAGGGGACGGAGTATGTGCCTGGTTTCCCTGACCCAAACACAGCCTCTCCAAACGTAAGACGTAAAAAACAGAAACATTCTAAATTTGCCGTGCTTAGGTGAATAAGAGCTAATATGTCAAACTGATCGCTTTTCCGTGGATCCGAGGCGACTACAGTTAAAAGACGTAGCTCGTCAGTCAGTGGATCATGGGTCAAACATGGGCAGTTTATTGTTCGAAATAACCAAAAAACTAAACTCAATCCGATCATTTGGCAAAAGTCCCGTGTGCTGAAACTAGAAAGAATCAGCTGATATATCACCTTCTTTTAAACTCAGTTTACAGAATAATGCAGCCCTAGACTATTCGGCAACAAGCATATTAGTGAAAAACTTAACTGAATCTGAAAATATGGGGACTTGCCCCAAAGCCCTTTCCACTATCTGCGTGTGCGAACAGGCTTACGAAATTTAACGAGGGAAACCCTTGAGCAGTAAATACTGTCGACACCAGTCAAACACTGCAGAAAACACAGAAATGACCAGATGCATCACGCGTACGCTGAATTACAAATTCAGAGGAAAGTTCACGACCGATACTAGCTCCATCGATAGGTCGTCAAAGTGGACGCTGGGTCGGTCCGGCAGCTTGGTCCCACATTGCGTGGGGGACTGTGAACGCCACGGTGCTACAGTTGGTTAAATCTATTGCTATCAGGGGACTCTGCAAGCAGGAGTCGACCATGTAGTTGTTATTTCCTTCGTGATTTATGTGTATTCGATGTACCGATGGCAAAGACTCTTGTTCGGTTTCATCTGCTTAGCTAAAGCTGTTCTGTTGTATGCGCGCAAGAACATTCAATGAGTTACACACCGTTAGTCGTACACTAACTGATTTCTCTGCACTCCTTTGAAGTTTGTAACCGTAGGGTCATTTTTCAAGCTTTTGAAATTTCATTTCCACTGGCCATAATGAATCTGCCAGGGTTGTTGCCATCAAAAATTTCACCTGCTTGTTTTTGCGCTACCTGTTAAGTGGAAATCCATCAGGTGTGCAGTGTTATTTTCGATTCGGACTCACTGGAGGATGACTAATAAACTACTCAGATAACGATGCATCCAACTTGAGTTCTTGACTATGTCATTCATCTGTAAATAGGTATAGGGAGCTTCAAATGGATCGCGTCCGATAAGTAATAATAAAGGCGAAACCAGTAGTCGGTCGTAAGCGAGTTTCCATCAGTCTTCACAGACTGCTCTAAAGAAACTGCCGTGTTATGTCAACGAACCAGCTTTTGTTTAACGCACAGATCTTTTGGAGATTCTATGTTGAAGATGAGAGGTCTTTACTTAACAAGATGTTAGAAAGCGGTGTGGTTCAAAATAACGCACAACAAAAATAGTAGTGTGAATAGGAAGCGATACGAGCGGTTTTTATATATATATATAAACATGCAACAACATCAAGCTGGAAAACTGTCCGCGCCAATGAGAGGAATTGGCCGATCATCTATATGTGTCGGTTTGCTAGTACAGCAGCTATGTGAAAGAAGTGAAAAGCGAGCTAATTTGCTCCACAGAAAACACATCTACCCAACCGGGACAGGAAACACGCAACCAACTCATTCGGAATACTGTGGCATGGCGTGCTGCGAACCACTATCGATCGACGGCAGAAGTAAATTTCCCCCAACAGTACAACTACTAACGCCGAAAATTATGATGTGAACAAAACCGTATGTGAAGGCCAAAAGTAGCGAAAAAGTGTAATCTCCCTCCCCGGGGGCAAAACCATTCCAGGATTGAACAGTGTTCTAATATATTGAGTATGGGATAAAAGCGCATTAAAACTGTGACGAGCTTGTTGAGCGAGAACATATTCACCCACTTGAAAGACGGTGATCAGGGACTGATAGAAGCTGTCAAAATTGGAACGAGGTTTTTCCACTTTTTTGAAATTGAATCGCCCACCGAAGAGCTGCATCCCGAGAAGAGCGAAAATCACGATGAACAGGAAAAGTAGGACAAGAAGGCTGACGATCGACTTTAAGCTTGCAAGAAGAGAGCCGACGAGATTTCTTAGGCTGCCCCAATACCTATGGACGGCAGAAAAATGTATGAGTGAGAGGAAACAGAGTTGGCACTACTGTGTGTATGTACTTGATTGAAAACTGCACAAACCAGAAGGGCGTTTTTCCTTAAGAACTTTAAATGTAGGCGAAAAACGACAGGCTATTGCTTTACCTTCTGCAGAGCATTACACGACCGAACTAATCGCGTCTAAAATACCACTGCGATTAAAAAACGATCAAATCAATGAAAATATCCGACCGTAATATCCGTTTGGATCATAAGTCTAAAAATGTCAGCTTGAGACCTAGTTTGCGACTGGAGAATTGCATTGCTTAAGCCGCTCTCGGTAAAACAGCATTAGTCCGGACGAAACTCCCACGGACCAAGTGAAGCAAGCGACGGATTCATTCTCTGAGACGGTCCGAAAACTGTGACAGTGGTGTGCTGGGGGCTTATCTTTTCGAGCAGCAGGAGATAATCATCTTTCGAGTGTCACGGTAACTCCAGCTGAGTGACCCATTTGTCAGTTCATTCCCCTTCACAAAGCCAAGCTAACAAAGAAAGCGAAATTCACGATTGTTCTGAAAATCAAAAGAGTCGATGGAGGAAACTGCTTTTTTTCTATTACAAAAACCTCTGCTTTACTTGAGGCACCGGGAGTCAATGGGAACCAATGAACTACAGCTCATCGTATAAGCATGTTTTCCTATGTCGTAAGCAATCCAACTATTGGCAACTTGTTACAGCCGATTCGCACCTGTTCGTCTGCCGTAGGATCACCCGTAGGCGTTCTAAACTTCACTGAGCATGAATTACTCGGACTTCAACTTAATAGAAAGAAGTACTATGAAGGTCCACAGAACCTCCACCAGCATTTTGCTCCAAACGTGCACATGATTATTGAGCGTTTGTATGTATTCCCCGATGCATAGCCCGCTTCATTATTTGAGCTTGCTGTTTCCACGGTGCCGCCCTGTCCATACACAGACTTATGGTTGAGGTCTAACTGAGCGTCTAGCTCAATTATGCTGTGGTCGTGAAGAGATTCAAGGTTTTGTGCCAAAAACTGTAATTCAGTGGTTAGTATGTGCACCATCTGGAGCATCATATGTCAAGTTCTCAACGTCGCGTATATTGGCCGCTACCTCTTTGCACTTACGACTGATTTCTTCTAAAGCGGGCACTTCCAAAGCAGCACACAGTACTTTGATACGTTTGCTTAATTCGCGGCCCGTAAGGCTTTGCTGCTGCCACCAGAGAAATCCAGTGGAAATCCACATTGAACGAGAATATGGACCGACTCAACAAATGTGTTGTAAACTGATTGACGGTCGCGCACTGAGCGTCGTTACCAGCAGTCAACGTGCACGTGATAAAGTGGGATTCACGACTGCTAAGGATCAGGAGGCACGAGGTAGCATAGCGGTAGTGTAACTCCGTGGAACAGTAGTAATCAGGAACAGAACAAAGGTGACTTTTTACAGGCGTCCATTCAAGCCAATGTTGAACATCAGGGTCTACTGGCTACCTACGGTTCGCGCCACTGCGCGACGCTACCGATACTGAATCGGTATCTGCCACAGCCTTACCTCCGATCACCACACTTTGGCAGCTGTGATTCGATAAGCCGGTTCATCATCACGCAGGAGATAACCGAATCAAATGAAGGTAAGTATTTAATCGAGACTAGGAGCCTGGAGTTCGTTGAAATGAGATCTCAACTTTGGACGAAAATTCCAGTGTTCTGGACTGAACTAACTGACTTATCGGACCGAGCCATCTGATAGGCTGATACATGCGACCACACACCAATTTCATCACGTGTTGTTTCTTGCAAGTGCTATTCACGTAATTACTGACCAAACAGCTAAGCCTGCATATGGATTAGATTATTCGACAGCTTCAACCTGTAAAGTTAACCCTCTGGGTTGGCTTGGCAGCGCCAATATGCAATCAAATCGCCAGACAGTGCACACTGATACTGGTCATTTGACGGAAGTTTTAACGAATTTTTACTGTTCACGTCCACAACTGCTATTGAAAGGCTTTCCGTTACGAGGTCATGAGAAGAACAAGCAAAATAAACTAAGATTATCTCATAAGTCACCGGTTTTCCCGAAGAACTCCCCGCTTGGAATGAGCCCAAGTGTGGTTAGACGCCCGGTGCTAAAGTAACTAATATCGACAGCAATCTGTCATGAGACCGACTCGTCTATTTCCATCTGAAGAGCTCCAGTGAGGGTCGAAACACGCACTTGACTGACCACGTCCGGCTTCACAACGAACTCCTCCGATCCGGGCGTAGGTGCATCGAGGCTTTTGAAACGGGTAGCAGGAGCATGAAAAAAGTCAGGAGAGGCCGCTTTGCTACTTGGATTTAATCAGTGTTCCCGTTGATTCGCAGTAGGATCGGATCCTTGTAAAAATCCGTTGGTTGGTGGGACTTTAGCCCGCCAAATATCTAGGAGATGGAAGTGGTGACGAGATAACCAATCTTCAAATAATCACAGGGATTGCCGGGATCCCAGTTAATAAAAAAAACCCGTGCAATTTGACCGCCCAGGTTCACTCACCTAGTAACTTTGAATACCCGTAGAAGACGAGCGCATCGAAGCACTGATACACCAAGCGGAGGCATGACTTCAGTCCGAATGAGAATAATTTCACCGATGCTGCAGATGACGACAAAGAAGTCGAACCGGTTGAACATGAAGTCAAAGTAGCAACGGATGCCCAAGCTATACATTTTGATCAACATCTCAATGGAGAACAAAACGACAAAGATGATATTGGCCAGATCTGAAATTTAAGTGGATAAGAGAACGAGTTGGTCTATAGGTAAGTTATTACACATGTGCACACCAACGCAACTTTTGTGCTAGAACTAGCCTAAACGGATCGCAAGAATACTGAAGGTACATTTCATTTTGACATTATAGAAAACAAATTTTTCTTTCTGAAAAATTGTAGGATCAGGTGAAGTAGTAAGCTTCCGCATGAACATTTCTAGTGTGCTACGACCAAAATAGGTCACCAGAGGCCAAAAACTGTATTGTCCCAAAGTATTCCTTCTTGGTGTACAACAATAAAAGAGACCGGTGTAAACGAAGAAAGGTTTCAGTTCACTTTGCATACTGTTGGACCAACAACGACTAATATGCATCACTTTGAAACAGTGATTCACTGGCTCTGTCAATTTCATCGAAATGGAAAGTTTTGTAGCTCAAGCGAAGTGTACCGTTAGGGCAAAATGTAGTCGTTTCAATGGAACTCAAACAATAAACATTTGAATGTGCTGGTCCAATGTTGTCACACACGTTCCTATACTCACCATCCCCACACTGACGCCAGATCTATTGGACTGGTTGCCCTGAATAGTTTCTCAAATGTATAAACTCTTGCTGTTGTCACCAGCAGTCCCTAAAAGATGCAGATGAATTCACATGGAGATGAATTCACGCATACAAGCAAACCTCTAGGCCAATGTGCGTTTCTGGTGTACAAAGTTTCAGCCGCTGTATGGCCAAAGTCTTTTTAAAATAGAGGTCCAAAAGAGACCAGTTGACCGTCAGTTAAAAGCTATGGGCTATGTGATGCTGGAGCTACTTGGATTTAAGGTGCATTCTAATTCTTGTGCCGATGGTTCTTGTGGCAGTCCGATATCGACTTCAGTTAGCGACATCGCTTTTTTAGGCGGGGACTTGCATACGGACAGAGCACCTTATGAAAACCTGCGTAGCTCACACCATAGAAGCGTGAAAGTGGAAGCTAGCACGATATTACATTTGTAGCCCGATCTCCCAAAGCACAAACAAGTTGTATTGGATTGAGGGATTGAGGAATAACTGACGGATAGGAGTGTCACCATAGGGGAAAGGCTGTTAGACAGAACACAAATAAACCCCAGTAAAAAGTAATCGTTCAGTGCCCAGCTGTCATGCCACCGGAGGAAATCACGAGGGTTGAGATAATGTCAGGTTGCCCAGACTAGAAGAGAGCAATCGAGACGCTGGGGTTGGGCTCGAATCAATAAACTTCCGTCAACCAGTCTGTGCCTTAAACACTGAGCTGTCCCGAGTTAAAGATAAACCCACCTTGAAAGTGATCCAGCCACAACGGTTGCCCATAGTGTTCGGAAGTCAACACACCGGTATTGAGAAACACAAGGACAATAACTATCCAGTAGAAGGTCTGAGACTTGACTAGTCTGCGACACGACCGTCGGCACCGTCTGTTCCATCTCCGAGATCTCCGCCTTTGCATCGGGAGTTGGATTCAGAATGAGAGTGACAAGGAATATGATTCAGCGGCCTCATAAGCTTTGAATGAAAGGACTGCATTCACAAAGTTATTTCGTAAAGGACGCATAGGTGCGCTAACACCCTTGATCCAATAGAGCATTTCCAATGCGAACAAACTCCACAAAGAAACTTTTGACACAGCGGCTATTGTAAGGTCATACGGTCACTCTGTTCTTATCCATATTTCAAATTTTGGTACTATGATATACAGTAACCTGAACTGTTTATTCACTCTGTAGTTCATGGCGACTCTTTAGCAGTTCGTACTGACCTTTCTTCAAGCACATTCTGACCAGTTCGCGTAAAGCATGTAACTCTGCCCATGTTCTTTCGATGCTATCTACCACCCCTACGTGCCACTGGCTGTTTATGGTACGGCTATTCACCGTCATGAGGAAGTATTCCTTGCAGACGGAACCAGATAACTTGCCATCCAATAGAATCCCTCTTCGAGATTGCTTAGTTGTATTGTTTATGGTTTACATACCTCACGATATCTGGTCGTACAATCAACGACTGATACGTGTATGCCTAACAGAGTGGTGAATTATGTACAGAGAAAATGAACTATGGAATACATCTCCGAAACATGTATACCAGAATAGTGGCTTACATTGTCTGTAGGGATGAATTAATTTCCAAAAAAGATTCAGCAAGAATTAACACTGTTTCTTCCGGTCGATGAAACACAGTAGGAGTTCCCGCCCTTTCGGATTATTAAGTTTGGCAAAGTACATTACCGTTGCAGCTGAATGATAGAATGATAGAACACATAGACAGATTGGGCCTGTATGGACTGACTATACTATACCATACATGGTTACAAATAGTGTTAATTCTCACTTCGTGAGTGAGTAACTTCACGCGGTACCCAGTAGTCAAAGGGGTATCACGTGAGCACTTTGTAGACTCGTTTGGTCTAGTGCCATCCAGCTCACTGCTCTCAACAGCGTTAGAATAAGATGACATTTCCGATCAAAGACGACTATAACTTCAGTAAGCTTTCAAAATCATTGCACATTATCAATTCCATGGAAAGCCTTGTTTCGAAGAACTGTGACGGATAATAGAGTTACAACCGGCATGCCGTTGCCAGGACGGTGGTAAGTTTGAACTAGAGAGTGTTTTTATCAAGTTTGGAATTGAAATTATTTCAAAGAAGGTAACAGGATAGCCGCAGATAACGTTTAATATCCACCTCACACTGGCTGTACAGTGTGGCCCATGAAAATCCATGATAAACTTGGGAATCAAAGAGAAATAATCTCACTGGAATGCATTTTTGGTAACAACTCACCCTTTCAGAGGAATGCAGAAAAAATATTGGTTCTGCTGCGAAGCCTGACTTCTTGGTCCGTTGTCCATTCCATGGTCAGATGGATCTTCTTCTTCCTCCTCATCCGCTGCAGGAGTACTACGACAGGCGGCGCACCAACGAAATTCTTTGACACGTGAACAGAATACGTAAGCGAGTAGTTAAAAATGGCAATTCTTTAGTTGCGTAATAGAACCTAATAGAACACAGCGCGATACATGTGTATGTGCGACCAAATGAAGAGCCCAAACAGGGAAATACGTCGAAGTTCAAAGAGGGTTAAAATCGAACGCAACCTTCGTTGATTAATTCACCTGAGACTAATAGTGAACGCTCGCTTTCGAGAAAAATGTGCCTTCGATCGGCTGGAAAAAGGAAGTTTGAAATCAGGAACACTGATAAAGCAAACTGTATTATTATGGCATAAGAGACCCAGAGAAGAGAAACCTACGGAGGTGTGGGCAGCGTTGAGATATGGTGCGTCCAAATCCAGCTAAAGGAACTACTCTTTCGGGAGCGGCAGCCTCAACCATCTTGACTTGCAGTGGATGGGGACACATTCCTTGTGGGTCACCGGCATGCTCACCGTCCTGCGCGCTAACCGAAGATAGTTGGAACTGAGGTGAGATTGTATTCCGTTTTCTGAACATTATCCCAAGGATCACACATAGCTAATCATTTGGTTAATGGAATATTGCCAGATCGTTCGTCAAAACCTTACATTTGCGTCAGTGATTAGTTCCCAGGGAATATTCGTACAACACGCTTAAACTTAAAGGAACGTATGGATGACGCAGTTACCTCAAAGATGAACAAATAACCGCTGTCGGTATCACCATGCTAAGCCTACGAAGTTCTTGAAACAAACCTCTTCATCCTGGCATGCCAGAATTATGTCCTCATTTTAACATCGGCGCCAGAGGCTGAAAATCAATGCCGTGTCGGGTTGTCCGAAAATTGCGCAGTCGCCTATTTGCTTGCTGAGCGAGCCAACGCATATAACTGATCCCTTTGCAGTTCAGTTACAACTGCATGCTGGTAAGTGGACAGTATTACCTATCATCCATATATATATATATATATATATATATATATATCCCTCACAAAAATGGGGCTCACTTTTTTCTTTATCCGCTTCTTTCTCAGCATTGTCCTCATCATCGCTAATATCCTCAGCTGCACTGATCCAATCCAAATATCCTTGGACATCCTCGGCGAATTGCATTTGTTCTCTGGCTTTCTGGTACTTCCCACGCTTTTTCGCCTTCTCCCTCTCCTTGGAGAATTCACTATGAACAGCGGTAAAACGAACGTACATATGAACGATGTGTAGGACAGTTTTGCAGCCCCAAGTGCGGCTTCACACCCAAAAATATAACGCATAAGACGGATAAGTATGCATTATAATTAAAGAGACATATCAGGAATAATTTGATCAGCACACTATATTTTAGGGGTTTAAGAGTTATGGTTTTATGTGAACCCAATTCATCCCTCAAATGGTGTGGGTTTCAGATCGGGAGAACACCCGAGTCGACCAAAAAAGCAAGTCGACAGACAGGTGCTGTTGAGTTTATGGACTGGGACATTTAGTCGGAACGTTAGCTGATGAAACCCTGCTCCATTCATCTGACAAGCTCGGATCGGGCGAGATGTAAACTCAGTTGCTGTTTTGGGACTGAAAATTGTCACTCGTACGAATCCAAGCTCACGGTTTGGTAATGGTTGTACATTATATAGGAACCAGTAGTTGAAGACCCACAGCTGGTCCGGTCCAGAACAAATGTTAACGCACAGGTTGAATCAGTTCAACCGTTTCAAGAGTCGATTGGCTCTACAGTCAACAAAACATTCTTGAAACTTAAAATACATTCAAACTTGCTAGGATGATGCCCGAAAAGTAATGTGCGTGGACTTTAGGGGCAGTACTACATTGTAACGAAGTGTCACATAATCACAAGGACGACACTGTTCGGAGTGGAAACTGTGTTGATCGACTGATGTCTAGGGGTACTCATATGATATCGTCATGACAAACGGTGGGTAGGCTCTGATGATCAACACAAATACTGGGATGTATGAATACTTTTCCACATTAGACAAACAAATGCTACGGTCTTTGTTATTCTGGTCCAGATGTGCGGCCAAAAATCATCCATACGAAGCCGTGCTACTCACAGCCCCCTCAGAAGCAAAGCAAGTGCTGTGTGCGGTGTATCACAAAACCAATATCAACTTCGTTACAGTTATCCCTTCCCGTAAACATGTATGAGCAAAGTTTTTCAGGATAGCAAACAATGACAAACGGTTACATTGTTGCTACTTTTCTTCTCCATGTGGCAGTTTTACGAGTCCCGCTTAACCAAACCCGTATTGAAACCAGAAAGGATAATTCCTTCTAATTCTAGTGTTGAAGGCCAATGGGTGGTTACAAGGTCGTTCATCCTGGTGAAACCAATAAGAACTAGAATGTTGATGTGAAACGGAAGCGGATGATGACTTGATCTAGACAGTCAGAATTTTCCTGAAGCTGGCTGTAGCGTGAAGGGAACGATCTCAGGCGACCTGGATTCTCAATTACAGTAATCCACCTAAGAGACACCATTAAAAAAGGCCTTCCAATGGAGAATCAACAGTATTGTCGTCCGTCATCCACGACCAACTGCCAGAAAAGAAAGCGTTTTACCTGCCACGTGATGCTCTTGGGAATATTACTCCACACCAGTTTCCTAAAAATACGAATGGGTAACTTATCACTCGTAAGCATATGGAAAAAATTTCAGTGTTAATACGGGGTTTTGGACCTTTATCTGCTGTTTGAAACTACGCTACGACTTCGGTGAAAACTGTCTGCCCCAGACGCCTAAAAAATGTAAAAACAAGCCTTAAAACTCTGCAAGAATGCTTTAACTCACTCTCTATGATATAGGTGAATCTGGCCCAAGTAAGGTGATTGGTTCATTTCACAGCAGTTTAAAGACTTGAAAACAGCAATGAGTGATACGGCTTTCAGTCTTGATTACTCCGAGCCCGTAAAATGTGATTTATGCCGCATAAGTTAGACACCTAGCCGCGGTGAGATCCTAACCGGCAAACTGCATTTAGCTAGCATGGCGAGAAGGCATGCGGTAACTTGGATTGCGGCGACTGGTTGAAGCGTGTGTTGAACACACTTCGGTACGTTTCAACGCCCGTAGTTTAAAAGTGCGACTCGTCTGGCGCGATGAGGTGGCAGAAGGCCTTCAAATAGGGTTTACGTGACAGATGTGTGTCGTAGTCCCATTCACCTTCAGCTGTGAACACCGCGTACTAGCCTTACAGTAGTCATAGCTATCACGGTTTTGGGAAGTTGGGGCAGACAACTACGCACTGGAGGAGGTAGCTGACATAATTGATGCGTGGACTTTTTATTGGGAAGATCCGGAGGGGAGCAATGCTCTTAAAGCAACAGCGTGGATGAAAGAGCACTACTGAGGATGCGACTGGGCCATGTTCGACAATGTGTGTGATGTGCTCCCTCCAAGGGACATCATCCAGGAAGAGGGCAGTGGCCAACGCAGCTGAGCTTGCCGGTAATGGCTTTGCTGTCAAGTTCAGTTAGGAATGTGTAAGATACATCTACTTATATCCGAGTGCCGTTTTTGGCTGAGGACACTCATACAGTGTCGGTATAAACAGCACGTGCCACAGAAAATCCGCAGATTAGTATCCTAGTAAGTTTGGTATTTACTGACGCTCATGAATCGCTCTTGCTAGGATACCAAACAGGACCATTTTATAAACTTCCGCTCACTCGTACGACTAAGCTACCGATTTGTGGAGTGCTTCCATAATTTGGGAGAGGGTTAGGTCTATTCAGCGGTTTTTGAAAAATTTTATTAATGAGCATCACTTATCACATCGAATTGTCGTTCCACCCCCCAGTTACCAGGCTGGTTGATTACAATCAGCCCTGTCATGATAGATTGGCTCTGTAGGACCGAAGCAGAATTAGCAGTAAGTTTCCTACGTACTTCTAATTGACTGCATAACACCAAAATTCTGAAAACCAAGCTAGTTTGGATTAGGTTTACTTGGTTGTTTTGGGTCTTATCCCACGTGTCTCGTGTGAGCACCTAGAATCAATCAGATGGAACAGTGTTGGGTTTTTCAACAACAAGTAAACAGCGGATAACACATAACTTATAATATTATTCGGCAGCTGATTACGGGTTCCCCCGTTCTCGGGGCACATCGGGTAAGCGCAGTGTCAGAGCTTTCATCAGTCTTATTTTCTACACACATTTCACTTCAGGTGTTACAGTTAGCTGTAAAAGGCAGCCTGGTGCATCAGTTGGCACCATGTTTAAGAAATCGTTCTTGTATATACCAAGAACCATCGCCAAATCCAAATAATCAGCACCAGAGAACAGCGAAGCGAACAGCACCAGCTTGTAAACACAGATCACGTGACTACTTCAATCCGATGAGTCACATTAGGACTGAGGGGGTGATGAGCATTTTGGGATATAACCACACTTAGCATAAAATGTAAATAAATTAATGGGCCTTATGAATGTAACCGTCCCCCTCCCCTCTGGACGGCTGTGTGGGTTTGGTCTACCGTATTTCAATAAGAGGCAATGTAGCTATTGGTCCAAATTTATCACACAGGCAAAGGAAACCGCACTGACCAAGAATAGAAGCATTTCTTATTTCCGGCTACAAACTGGAGGTATGGAAGTTTGGACATAAATAACAGCAACATTGAAGACAGTGAGTCTTCAAAAAAGACGTTAGGCTGAAGGCTGTTTTCTTCACGACCACGTGGATCTCAAGGAACGGGGTGGTGAAAATTTCGAACCGGAATATAAAATCCGCATAGCGAGACAGCCGGTCAAAAACAGCCAGTTAAATCGGCGGCGGTGCACTTCACACGTGCAAAACTATTCTACAAAAATCTATCGCTTTGTACGAGTCAATCAGTGGGATCCAACTGCACCAGCTTCCTAAAAATATCGATAGCGACTAGCAATCTTGCAGATAAGCATGCTTCAGACCATGAGAAAAAGGTGTTCAGCTCATTACTATTCAACAAGAATTGATCGCTTATTATAATCTCAGTAAGATGCAGTCATGACAAGCAACCTGATCTAACAAAAACATTCTGTCGATTGCCAATCACACAAAGTGATGCAATCCGTTTATGATGACATCGAGAGAAGTGTCAGCTAAAAGAGTTTCGCACCAAGGTGTGGAGGCGGTTGCCAGAACGAACAACTGCGTGAGAGGACAATGAAGAAAAACAGGTTGGTTATTAATGAACCAACCATGACGGGTAACAGAACAACTTACCCGCTTAGAACACCGAGAACCAGATTCATCACGAAAAACGACCCGATTAGTATCATACTGACAAAATATACCCAAGGGTAGAGCATTCCTTGTGAATCGTTGACCTGTGTGTGTGTAAGCGAGAATCGATCGGTTCGAAACAGAGAAGTCATTTGAATAGATTGACATAAATACTGGAAACTGGAGAAATCAGACTGGCAATAAGCTAATTACCGGGTGGAATTCATCGGTTAACCGGTTAGAAAAGGATGAGGGGAAGAACAACTGCATGCGTAGCTGTCTACCCCTTCATTCCCACATCATCGGCGAACAAAAATGTAAGATACAACTACTGAACAACATGCACGATTTTTTCCAGCTAACGATCATGATCATGATGATAAAGGATGGCATACCGGCAATTAAAGGAGCACAACTTCCTTTCAAGCATCGTCTCCTGACAGACTTGCTTTCAAAGAGACAACATAGTCGTAGGAGAGCAAAACAGAAAGATGGAGAAACGCTGGCTGTCTAGAACTATTGACTGTGTTAAATAGTTTGCTTTGCGTCAAAACAAATGCGTACAAGCCAAACAAACGGCCTGAAAAGAATAAGCAAACTATCTTTCTCCTCGGGAATAGTCGTTTCAGATTTCCAGATTTGCTTCCCGTTTTCGGGGAGAATCGGATCGAAATCGATTCGCTGTAAATAATCTTATCGATATCTCAATTCATCGACTGGTCATCCCTAAAAAATTCAATAACTAGCGATTCTGTGAAAGATCAGTGAGGGGATAACTAGATTGAAGAGTCGCTGATAGCGTGAAACGGTCCATATATCCGTTTTATCAAAGCTTCCGCAGAGTTGTATTATCACATTTAAGTCCGTCAGAGCGTAATTTGACAACGCGTCATTTTAGTACACGTCTGCAGTACACTAGCAGTTGAGAAATCATTTATCAAAATCAGTGTAAGTTATGTACTGTGTACTACTAGACGGGTGATTGGAGTGCAAAAGCGGCCACCGGAAAGCAAAGTTATGGATCTCCTAAACTTGGGCGTCCTATATAAGACTGTAAGGGAAACGTTGCTGTGACAGACCACGTGGGTGTCTTGGAAATAGGAGACTGTATACGCATAAATTTTTCATAATCTACTGAGTAATCAGAATGGCTTTCACCCCGGTAAGGTATCGTTTTTCTCGTTAGGAGTTTGGGCATAGTAATCCAGTTAATTGAACGTCAACATTCCTCAAAAACGTTTCAGTGTGCCATTGTTTTTTTTGTGAGGCGACTAGCAAGCAATAGGGTAGGTCAGGTTAGCAAGAGTGCTGTAAAACAAGTCACCATAACTCTCTGACGGTCGCGGATGTTTCGATAGCTGCCAGCTACATAATACGTGAACTTATGCAAAGTAGCTTTTCTGGCCTGTCCGCTGCCCAACATTCCAACCATCTCAATCCCCGTCCTATAGACCTAAATGAAGGCTCTAAACAAAGCACCCTCTCTTCGGTAACCGCTTCGCATATCATTTCATGTGATCCAGTAATGATGTACAGTTAAGAGGTTCTTAGTATATGAAACAATACTGAAGAGCCTCCTTGTCCGGTGGATGTGCAGAACAAGACAAGCCATACGAACAAATAGGTTGAGACGCCATGAAAATTGCTTGTTCTACCAAACAAGCATGAGTGAACGATGATTCCTAATGGAAAAAGGCAATGACCCGATATAGCTAAATGAACAAGGGGTTAGAAAGTGACCATCACGACAGTTAGTGCCAGTTAATGGTTGAAGCGCCTAAAGTGGAAGCACTGAGTGGGAGAAAAAACAATCAACTTCCATCCTCACATCTTGTTAAGCATAGGCTTATCCGTTTCGGCTCTAAACAACACAAAATGCTCAGGTTACCGACAACAACCTGGTGAAACGTAACAAGTGTTTAACAAAGTCCCAAGTTAGAGAACGGCAGAAAGTGATTCTTCGACAGAACAAATGACAGACAGCAGACATGTAGCAAGGTATTGAGTCCCAACACTGTCAGCTGACCAGTATGGACCCACATTCGGTACATTCACAGACCCACTGGTCAAATTCATATGCCAACTTTTAGTCATGTAGTCTTGGAAACGTCACAGCTGACGGACATGCCCACACAGAACCACTGCCCAGTCAGTCTCAACGACCTTCTGTGCAAAAATTTGCGCATTATCATATGATTGTATCTACGCTGATTTTTTTCTTTCTCCCTCTCTCACTCTATCCATGTACGACGC